TATAATTCGATAATATGTTGTTTTCTTCTTTTTTTTTTAATATTCTGAATGTTAAATAATGAAATTTTATTGGTTAATGAACTAAGAATTTCCCTGATGTAAATAGTTCGGTATCACGAAGATTTTAGGAAAATATCTTTTTGGAATCAGGAAGATCTACGACTAATTGTTTTTCATGTCTGCTTATTTTGCATGTGGGTTTTATACGATGGATGGGACGGTGCGTTAACTTTTTAGAAGTTTGAAAGATTTATTTACTGATTTTTCAGTAACCACGTAATCTTTTTTTTCGATTTTTGATTTCCCTTATATGATTTTGTGAATCATTTTTAATAGGTCATTTATCACTCCACTAATTAAATTTAAATTTAATTCCACTAGTTAAATTAAAATTTACTTAATTTGAAGTTCTTTTAAATGCTACTGAAAAATTAACTGCATTTGATCTATATTTATGGCAATCAAATCCTGTCTATTAACTCGTTCACAATATATCACAAAACATGATGGTATAACATCTCCCTTGTGCCGAAAGCTTGTTAGCCATGTTGGTGTGAGCCACATTAGCGTTGAGCATTTTATCCCGTTATATTTGATTTCTTTCGTTATTCGTTTCGATTCGATCCAAAAATTTCAGATATCCGTAAACTTTCGAATCAAAACAAATACTAAAATTTAATATCCGTTAAAATCAAAGCAAATCACAAATATTAAAATTTTGAGAAGTGGATATCCGATCCGATCAGGAAATATATAAATATATATGTATAGCTTGATTATATTTAAAATTTTAAATATATAAAATTATAGAATTATTATTCTAGCACATAACTTTAAACAATTCTATTTACATTATTACTTATATAAAAGTATTACATAAAAGAGAGAAAAAATTTATGACAATTATATGTTTTTCTTGAATTTTGTGTTATTATAATTGTAACTTAAACTTAAAAAAATTACAAAATATGTAAATTCACTAGTTCTTTTAATTTTTATTTTATATATCATGCAAAAAAAAATATTTTTGCAAAGCAAATTTGTATCAAAATCTTAAAATTATTTGTATTAATCAAAATGGATGAGATATTCGTAAATATTTGTAAATATCCGCAAATATCTATTTATTTTCCGGATATGCGTTTTTCCGGATATTCATATTTTTTCGAAACAAAGCAAATACCAAAATTAGATATAACATTCGAATCAAATCACAAATACCTTAAAAAAAATCTGGATATCCGATCCGTATCCACCCCTAAGCCACATGACTCCACTCTCGTATGGGTTCGGCTCTCTTACCACTTTTAACATTCCGACCACAAACATATAATGAGCCTCTCACATCATATATCCATTTGTTCTGTTGACCTCTTTCTATGTGACAGTTGTGTGTTAATTGCGGAGATTCTAAAGATTTGATTACTAACAATTCAATTACCGCATGAATTTTTTCCGTATTTTAACCTCGACAATATCATAAATCACTTCTAATAGATCATTAATCTTTTTACTAATTCAGATTAAAAGTGCTTAATCTTAAAATTCGTTTTGGATATGTAACCAAAAAATAAATACACTTTCCTAATATAGATAGTCAAATCAGTTTATTAAGCATTTTTACCATAGACCATGTTAGAGATTTTCACATAAGAATCTACATTCTTATTACGTTGTGTAGATAGAAACACGCCCATGTCATGTTTGTGGAATTTAGTTACGTTCCGTGATCCTTAAGTAACTAAACATTGTCTCATCTCACTAAGTACGCTTTTATCTCTTTAGTCACTTTGTCACATGTCTGACTCATGACACAGAGAGAAGCCCAATATAAAAGATATAAGAGCATTAGCACTAATGAACCCCCACTTGAAGTTCATAAGCTGATGTTTTTATTATTATTTTTTTACGTTTGATGTAAAATAAAATAAAATTGATCAATCGTGAATCGCCATGTGACGTGGGGCCCACAAAACAGTAGTAAACCAGGTTCATGACAGTGAACTTCTACGCCCAAGGTTTATCAGTACTTTTGCATTATTTTATATGTTTTTTTGGTATTTGTGTGAACTCTCGTCACCATCCTTTGATGTGGGTGCTCTAAGAAGTTAAAAACATGATTATGTTTTCCAACACATGAAAACGAAACTGTTAGAGAAATATGGGCAAATGAAACTTAAGAAAAATATGGGCAAATGTCACATTCAGAATTAGGATCTTCTGACAGAAATTCTGATTCAAAATAAAGTATTATGTTCTATAAATTTAGAATAATGCAAATCATAGATACCAGAATTTGAAGACGAAAAAAAATATATCATATAAAAACTCTAAAGAGATCTATACTATTAAAACAGAAGACCCTTTTTTAGGCACCCTTCTGTTTCAACAATATTTACAGAATAATGCCACTGCATAATTTTTTAAGCTATGCTTTGTATTAAAGCGGTTTTACCCGATGCAAGTGGGTTTGACCCGATAGAATATTCTAAAAAAATACTTTTTATTTAATTATGTTTTCTGTTTTTCTTTTATTTATGCAGCAAAAATCACACATTTAATTAATATAACCCTTTTCATCTATTTATATATGCTTTCGAGATAACATTCCTATATATTTGCATGATATAACACATATATATTTGTCATGTACGTTTTGAATCAAACACATCCTTCCATCCATATTACGAAATAAATGTGCATACGATTATATCAATTAATGTACATACAAACATTACTATCTCATTAAAATGATGAATCGACGTATATGTTTAGTAATACATAATTACGAGTAATCCTCTGCATATTNAAACACATCCTTCCATCCATATTACGAAATAAATGTGCATACGATTATATCAATTAATGTACATACAAACATTACTATCTCATTAAAATGATGAATCGACGTATATGTTTAGTAATACATAATTACGAGTAATCCTCTGCATATTTTGTTTTATTTATGCTTATTCTTTAGAATATACCGATTGTAGCATTTCGAATAATTTTTTTCTACGATTATGATATCGCAACCGATTCCGAACCATAACGAATTTAACAAATTTGTTTTGTAAGTCGAAATTTTTTTCTTAAATAAAAAAATATCCTTCTTAGCATAAAATTCTGTTTGTGCAATCTTAACTAAAGTTGTAATCTATTCATAGAATAATCAAATCAATAGTTATATATATATATAATTAAATAAATAAATAAAAACTAAACTTTACTCAAATAAACTAAAATCTCGGTAAGTTGTTAAATTAAAAAACAAATATAGTAGATTGTAAATAGCTGAGCAATCTAGGTATTATCATATATTTAAAATATCAGTAACAACCAATCATAACATAAAAATCGCAGCATTTAGTAACTTAAATCGATATAACTAAAACAATAAAATCTAATCTACCATATTTTGAATAAAATTGATCCGCAAGATCACAAAACACACGGCTAATTTTAACACATACAGTTTATAATGAATTTAGATTTTAACGCATACAGTTTATAATGATTTAACAAATTCCATTAACACACATTAACTGAATTTCAAGGTTTTAAATTTAGCAGATCAAACTGGTATTCATTAGAAATATATTATTCTTATCTACAACTAACTACTAACGTGAATCTCTAACAAATCTATTGTTGTTACCATATATTCTATAATAAATACTTAACAATAATATCTTAGTATTTAACTTAGTTTCAAAAGGTAATAAAATTTAACACCATAAATTGTGTTGCAAGCTAAACAAAATATCATCTTCAACTCATTATATAAAGGTATTCTCATTTCAATAATCGACACATCCGCTTTTCGTTTTCATAGCTTTTTTGTTCTTTTTTTCAATAAATTATAGTTCTAATTTAAACGTCATGCTTGTGATTTTATACAAGTCTAACAGAGACTGGGATAATGGCTACAATCAAAAGAGATTCGTGACTTATATGTGAATTTTTTTGTGTTAGTTATTTGTTTGCCTAATTGTTTGCTTAATTTAATTGTGTTATCATGTTAATTTAAATTTCATGTTTGATGGTAACCACATTGACATAGTGATGTGTGTCCGTCCAGATAACAGGAATCGAAGGAGG